TTATTTCCTAAGGTTTAGGGTTTAGGGTTTAGGATTATGGTTTAGGATTTAGGGTTTAGGGTTTAGGGCTTAGGATTTATGATTATGGTTTAGGATTTAGGGTTTAGGGTTTAGGGCTTAGGATTTATGATTGGGGCTTAGGGTTTAGGGTTTAGGATTTAGGGTTTAGGGTTTAGATGAATATAGCTTGGTTTACCCTTACTCTTAGCTCTTCAAGGTTTATATCATGGTGTTTCCGAGCATTTATAGTAGGGAGGCTTTTCTGGAGGGGTCTTACAGTCAGCTCAGATAGGGTTTTCTTAAAGATGCAAGTGCTGTGTGATTGAGCTGGCCAAATGTTGGCAGGCTCAAAGGTGCTTACCCCTTATTGTAGTTACTGTTATGGGGAACATGCCCCAAAAAACCTAAACCTTGGGTACTGCCCCCACCCAGTAACAGTCTATATTAGGGGTCCTATTAAGGGCTATATATAACCATATTATAATTATTATCCAACTGTTACTGAGGGGGGGTGCAGTACTCAACCTAAACCCTAAATAGTAGTTTCCATTTTCTTTTCCATTATCCCAATATAACCCCAATATAACCCTAAACCCTAAATCCATTGTAGTAGCTTCCATTTTCTTTTCCATTAATATAACCCTAAACTCCAAATTTTCGACCTTACCCCAGGATGAGGGTGGAGTCTAGTGCTGAGGGATGGTGGCTCGCGGGCGTTGGGGCTAGAAGCTGTTCGGGGGTGCATGCTTCTGGCGGTTTGGGTTTTAGGGGTTTAGGGTTTAGGGTTCAGGTTTCCGGGCTAATTAAGGTTCCCTGTCGGGCTTGTGCTGCAGGGTTTTTCGGGATTAGGAAGCTTCTGGACTTCATGGATCTCTTCGTGGGTAGCATGGAGGTATGCATACGGAGATGCCATAGTCTCGGTTCTGTGCCTGCCTTTTACATATTTATCCACGCCCCGATGACCATACTCCCAACTCAATTTGGTGGGTTTAGGGTTTTCTTAGGCAACCCAATTTTGAGAACATAAGCCCTAAAAGTTCAACCTCCTCAAACCCGCCGGAGCCCTGAAAAGCAGACAACTCCCTAACATCCGCTAAAACTTGAATCACTAGATCCCAAACCCTACAACGTACTCAAACCTCCTGAACCCCAAGCACTAAACCCTAAATCCTAAATCCCTAAAACCTAAACCCATTGTATCATCTACCCCAACAGCCTTCCGACTGAGTCTTCAGGCAGAGATGGACTTGCGACCCGGCTTCTGGAGAAAGGCGAAGTTTCAATTCAAAGCTTGTAGGGTTCAAGGTTTAAGGATTTAGAGTTTAGGGTAGGGGTTCGGGGGCCTAGGGTTTAGGGTTTTTTGTAGGTAGAAAAACCTTCAAGTTATAGCCAGGTTCTAACCTATATCCCGGTATAGCTGGCATCTATGGATAACACCCGTGTCAGGTGACTTACCTACCTAGTAGAGGCTAGCCCTTCCGTATTGTTACTCGTTATGGAGGGCACTCAAGTTTCGTAATTCACGCATCCAAGAAAGTTTAGTGCCTGGGGACCAGAATTCTAAGAGTGGAAGGTTTCTCTGGGTTCTGAGTCTATATATATATAGATACATAATGCCAACGATGGGCCCCAAGAGCTGCAACCGGCACCTACATTGGGTTAGGGTTCCTGTTTGTGCTTGAGGATAGCTTCGAATGGTAAGTTTTTTAGGAGGCTAGTGTTGAGAGTTCATGGGTTTATACCTTGGGACTTAGAATTCGAGTCTCCGGTGCACCTGGTACTTGCGGGCCCCTCAAAGCGCCTAAACCCTAGCCTGGTACATCTAAGAGAATTGTTTGAGTTTCTTCCAATGTGCTTTCAGGATGCTAAAGCCTCAGCGTATGGGGCCGCAACCCCCTGCAGCATCAGGTAGCTTCAGCGCTTATATAGGGTTTAGGTCTTAGGGTTTCAGGGTTAAGGCCGTTCAGCAACAGGTAGCTTTAAGGCTTATATTGGGCAGTGGAGGTCAGCGTTCATGGCTTAAAGATCCTGCCCACACCTTCAGGCTCCCCAGCAGCTGCCACCCAAAGTCATATTCTATCTACTTAAGCGGGACTATTGGCTTTAGGGGTTGCCAGCAGGATAAAGCTGAAGTGGGACGGGTGAGGCATAGGAGCGGGCAGGCTTGTTGCTGAGAGGCCCCGAGTGCCCTGAGAGGAAGAAGGCCTAGCCTAAAGCTGAGGTGAAACAAGAGGCTCGTCCTCTGGAATGTAGGGGTTCAGGGGCTAGGGGTTGAGGCTTTTGGGGTTTCAGATTCATAGGGGGTGTGGGATTCGGATTCTTGAGTCCTCGTAAGCAAAAGCCAACTCAGTCAAAACCTTCCCCCCCCCCCAACCTAAGACCTCTGCAATTTGTACAAACATGTCAAACACCAGAATAGGATTTTGGAGGATTGTGCTATGGATAAGGGTTTAAGGGGTATGCCCTCGTGGTACGCGTCTTGGTGGTTATTTTACAGCTTTCAACCGACAGAAGTGGCTCAAGGAGTGTCTCCAGTTCCTGAATAGCTCGGGACATGCACCTTTCATTTTTCAAGTTTCCTAGCTGCTTGCGTACTGGAGGTAACAGACTCTGAGAGGGAGCCTGCCTTCGTTTGGGAGGCACCCAAAACTAGACTACAAACCCCCAAGCCAAAATGACAAAATCCCAAATCGGCGTAACTTCATATCATAAAACGATTACAAAACAGTCCTTAGAATCCTCATTTGTAATTGTACCTCAGGCTCCATTCTAATTCTCCAGGGCCCAAGCCGTTTTCCATTTAATCCTCCGTCATCTTAACCTTGACAGGGTGCCTACACCCGAAACCCTACATATCCGCTAAGGCCCCTCTAGCACCCCCTACAGCACTCCTGAGACCGCCTGCTTTATCCTAAACCCTAAACCCCAAAGCGGCTAGCCAGACACACTCTCCAAGGTACAAAAGCAAGTATTCCAAGCTGCACGAGATGGTCCTGCAAACGCCACTTGTTGATGTCGAGATCTGCAAGGATTAAGAGATTTAGTGGCTGAGGGTTTGGCGGGCTAAGATTTGGATTTTTTCTGGAGTAAGCCTGAAGAATGTAGAAGAATGGCCGTTGGACGATATTTAGGGGTTTGGAGCCACTTACTTTTTGCGGACCATGTAGGGCACAAGGTTTAGGTTCGTGGGCTACTTGAAAGTTACGTGTCAGGATGGTTCACCACTTACTAACCGTTCCTGAGTCTGTTGAGGCTTGGATAGGGCTTGCTATGGTTTCAGGAAGCAGCAGGGTGTCCTCCCTTAAATTAACATGGAACCCCAAAGAGCCTCCTGCCAAAAGGGCTGTATCCTTTAAAGGGCCCGTTTTGGACTGGGAGATTAAACACAAACTCTGATTACCGTCAAAATCCTCTATCCAGGTGCCATTCCTTTTGTTGTAGAATCTAAAATGGCTTGTTTTTTCAGGGTGCAGGATCCTAGATTGCAAGTTGTCCTGAACCCTAAGTAGTCCTAAACCCTGAACCCTAAACCCTGAATCCTGAGCCCCAAGCCCTCAACCCTGAATCCTAAACCCTAAACCCTGAAATCCGATAAGCACAAAATCAGGTTGAGGGCTGGGGTCCTGGGTTCAGGATTTGATGTACAGGGTCTATCAGATTAGGGATGTGGATTCTGAAGTCTGGTTCAGGGGATTTAGGGCTTTAGGGTTTAGGGTCTAGAGTTTAGGGTTTAGGGGTATAAGGTCTAGGGTTTAGGATTTACGGTCTAGGCCCCCTGAATCATTTGCACAAACAGGATCAGCAAATCATGCACATAACAAGGCAGCGAGAAAGCCGCAGGTCTTGAAAGCAACTGGAGCTTTGATAGTTTGAGCCACAGCCAACACCCAACCGTTCGGAAGGAAGTAGCATCTCAAAAAGTATGGTCATAAGATCTATACAACTATATAACAATGCCAAGTGGAGAATGGGGCCCGCGCTAACTTGAGTCTCCAGTCCTGATCTTGTAGGACACTGAATCTGGATCAGCATGTGGGGTCCTTTCTTCACATAGCTGCAGAAGAACCCTAAACCCCAAATCCTAANNTCCATTATCCCGATATACCCCCCAAAATATCCCCTAATATTCCTTTAGTTGCAGGTGGTTACAGGTAGGAACAAACTGATGGAGCGACCGCCCCTGAGCCTGGAAAGGTTCGAAAACGAGCAGAGCTTCGTGACGCGAGCTAAGCAGTTGAACCAGCGCTTGATGCGCCTCTTCCGCAATCAGATGGGAGTATCCCAAAGCTAAGGCTAGTCAAGACCTCAACTTTTCATATGAGTCAGGGGAGTACAACGAAAAGTTTCGGTGGCTGTGTGGAGGCTTCCTTAGGAATTCTGGAGTATGGGGGACAATAAAAAATCCCAGAGCATACAGCTACTCGCACATGCTGGCCACCAGTTCGGACAATCGTTCTGATCGATGCGTCTTGCAGCTCAGTCTCATGTTTTTATCTAGCAATCCGCTTGAGGGTTTGAAATTTCGAGCAGCCAGAGATGCGTCTCCCTGCCAGTTCCTGCTAGCTCTCTGTAGAAACCCGTTCTTCTTCACCCCCCAAAAACCTAGAAAGTCCTAGAAACCCTTATAAATCCTCTGACCTCATAAGCCCTGTCGACCCTTAAACCTGCGCCCTAAACCCGAAACCTCAGACCCTAAACTCCAAAC